ACTGGAGTGGCGGGGTGAAGGCGAGGCTCCGGTAAGAAGGGGTGCTGGTAGAACATGGTGTGGGTGCAGGGTGGATCCCGGGGCCTTCCCTCACTGCCTGCTCTGCCTTTCCCACCCTGCAGCAGAGCCTCCTGACCATGGAGGAGATCCAGTCGGTGGAAGAGACGCAGATCAAGGAGCGCAAGTGTCTCCTGCTTAAGATCCGCGGGGGCAAGCAGTTCGTCCTTCAGTGTGACGTAAGTGGGGCTGGAGGTGAGGGTGCAGGCGGGTGGGGGCCTGGAGGTGAGGGTGCAGGCGGGTGGGGGCCTGGAGGTGAGAGTGCAGGCGGGTGGGGGCCTGGAGGTGAGGGTGCAGGCGGGTGGGGGCCTGGAGGTGAGGGTGCAGGGGGGTGGGGGCATGGAGGTGAGGGTGCAGGGGGGTGGGGGCCTAGAGGTGAGAGTGCAGGGGGGTGGGGGCCTGGAGGTGAGAGTACAGGCGGGTGGGGGCCTGGAGGTGAGAGTGCAGGCGGGTGGGGGCCTGGCCAGCAGAGCCTGATAGAGCCTGGACATGTCCAGAGTGATCCTGAGCTGGTGCAGTGGAAGAAAGAGCTGCGTGATGCCTACCGTGAGGCCCAGCAGCTGGTACAGCGAGTGCCCAAGATGAAGAACAAGCCACGCTCACCTGTGGTGGAGCTGAGCAAAGTGCCACTGATCCAGCGTGGCAGTGCCAACGGCCTCTGACCCACCCATCCGCTGCCCGCCTGCCCACCCGCCTTTTATAAACCTCTAATTTATTTTGTCGAATTTTTATTATTTGTTTTGTTTTCCCGCAAAGCGGAAAAGGTTTTTATTTTGTAATTATTGTGATTTCCTGTAGCCCCAGCCTGGCCCAGCCCCCAGGGAGGGGCCCCGCTTGCCTTGGCTCCTGCTGCCACCAACCCAGCCACTGTCTAAGACCCCTGCCCTGACCCCCCCCCACCCAGGGTCCTTGCCCCCAGTGTCTTCCTGTAGGGAAGAGGAGCAACTCTCGGCAGCCCTCTCGCCCCTCCTGGGGTAAAGCCAGCCACACTTGGTAGGTGGGCCACGTCAGGCTCTGTGGGCTGTGCTCAGCCTGTGGCCCAGCCGAGTGGCCCAGCACCCCCACGAAGGAACGTGCACCACAGTGATACTACTTGAACTCTCCTATCACAGCCCTCGTGCCACAGAGGGACAGACCCCTGCTCTTCTGGCCTCTTGCCACTGGTGAGAGAAGGCCCTCGTCTCCCCAGACCTGGAGGTCCCCCAGTGACTGGCTCCTAGGTCCTTGTTCAGGAAAAGCCTCTATGTCACTGCCCCCTCCCCGCTTCGTGGACACTAGGGCTGGGTCAGAAGACTGGCATCGGCAGTGGCGGCTGCTGGCCTCCATGCCAGCCCCCTCTTCTTCCCGTGGCGTGCCCGGACTCAGGAGCACAGAAAAGGCAATCGTGGATTGGGCCACACTGGCCTGGCTTGAACCCAGGTCCCCAACCCTGGGCTGTGTGAGGCTCACCTGCCCAGGACCACAGTGGGACAGCCTGGGCAGGTGGGTGGCACAGCATAGGAGCCCAGCTGGGGCCAGTCCTCCTTGTCCTGACTGGTCAGTGTGTCCCCACCCACACTGTCCAGCCCCTAGCCCGTGTCCTGTCAGTGCCACCACCCACAGGTGCCACCTCACCCACCGCATGCCCCCTTGTTCCCGTCGCGCAGCCGTGTGTGGTGTCGGCCCTCTCCCCCTGGGGCTGGGTCAGCGCACTCCCCCCTCTTGTCTACTCACTCCTGGGGCGTTTCTTTGCCGATTTTTGAATGTGATTTTAAAGAGTGGAAAATGAGACTATGCGTTTTTATAAAAAATGGTGCCTGACTCCTCGCTGTCTCGCTCTTCGTGCCTGGTGACCACTTTTCAGTCACTTCCATCTGGGGCCTGAGAGGGGAGGATCTTAGTAACCCATCCTTCCCTCCCTGGAGGAGTGGAGTCTTTTGCCCACCTCCCAAGTAAGCAGGAGTGGCCTGCAGTCCACGTCAGAGGTCATGTTTGGAATGGCTGGGGACATATTGACCTTATCACGTTCCCCTGCATGTCAAGCAATATGTCAGTCCCCGCTCCCTCTTAGCACGTGAGTTTTCTCGTCCACACTGCAACTTCTGGCCCTTCGGCTGTGTCTGGCATTGGCCTCTTGTGGCCTCACCGTACAACCTCTACCGGGGTCACTGGACTTAAGGGGTGCCCCAACATCAAGCCTATCTCCTGAGAATGAACTCCTTTCTCCTGCGTCCTTGCTCCAGGTCTTTGGAACTGGTGACAGCATGTAAGCACCATTGCCCGCCCTGTCCAGTGCAGGGGTGGGGTGCACAGAGAAGGAGATAGTTCTAAGGCAGATACTGTGTCGTCTTGGGTGAAATGGCATTTGAGCTGGGCCTCCAGTATTGGAGTGGTCATTGGTGGAGATGTTTCTAAGACCAGGAAGGGTCAGGCACTTACGAGTGTCTCAGTCAGCAAAACACAAAGGAAGGAACCAGGCATTGGGGCCCTGAAAGGCCAGCCTTAACTCAGCACAGGCCCAGAATACTCAGTGACTGCAACCTGGAGATATGAACAGACTGAGGGGTTGAACTTGCTTGGCTCTGGGTGGTTAGCAGAGGCTAGTCTCGAACTCATTATATAGCCAAGGATGGCCTTGAACTCCTCATCTTCCTGCCTCCACTTCCCAAGTACTGGGATTACAAGTGTTTGCTACCATGTCTGGCTTAGTTCTCAAGTTTCAGTTCTCTAAAACAAATGGCTGGTCACTGCAAGAAGAAAGAAGACAGGGTCATTGTTTTTGTCCAGGGAAGATGATCTTGGAATGGTAATTGTAAAGGAAGAAGTGAAAGAGGCCAGAGAGGAGAAAATGGCTGAGCAGTGTAGTAGGCCAGGCCAAGGTTAGGGATGAGAAGTAGGTGGTCAACCCTGGAGCATAGTAGGAAGGCCATGATGTTATTCAAGAGGTTAGATAGAGCTGGGCATGGTGGCACACACCTTCAATCCCAGTACTTTGGGAGGCAGAGGCAGGTGAATGTATGAGTTTGACGCCAGGCTGGTCTATACAGTGAGTTCCAGGCCAGCCAAAGCTGCATAGTGAGACCCTCAAAAGACAAAAGGCTGGGCAGTGGTGGCGGCTCACAGAGGCAGGTGGAACTCTATGAGTTAGAGGCTAGCCTGGTCTACAGAGTAAGTTCCAAGACAGCCAAGGCTAAACAGTGAAACTCTTGTCTCAAAACCCTATCTCAAAAAACCAACCAGCCAATCAAACAAACACAAAAAACCCCAATAACAACAAAAAGGTAAGTAAGACAGCCTAGAGCGCAGCTGGCCTGGGAGGAAGAAGGTAAAGGTGTTTGGATATGGCTTTTGACCCCCTAATGAGGCAACATGGAGTACCTAAGACCAGAGATGGTGGAGAGGTGGCATCGGGTGGCGGTAGGAGAATGGAGCAGACAGGCTCAGCCAGGAGAGGCTCACATGGGTGTCAGGCTTGGAAAAGAGGTTCACTGGCAGAGAAGTAAGAGCTGGTGGAGAAATGCCCAAGACTGCAGCAACTTGTAGCCCTTCCAGGTTCAGGGTGGAGAGGATGTGGGGACAGGACAGTCTCTGACGAAAGCATAGGCCAGCAGAACCTAACTGTAGAGCTCCGGACATTCAGAAGCCTTTGAACTCCTCCCTAAGTCCAGACATCACAGATGACCTGACTGCACCACACAAAGTGGGGAGCATGGATCTCAGAGAGCTATAAGCCACCTGACCACAGAGAGAAAGCGGGGAAAGGTGGCAATCAGGCTGCAGAAATGAGGACATCCTAGGGCAGGAAGGGAGCCTCAAGTTAATGGCCTTTCTCCACCCATTAACTGTTACAGATAGGGAGACAGGGCCAGCAAGATGGCTCATCAGATAAAGGCACATGCTGTCAAAGCTGACAACCTGAGTTCAAGGGTGGGAGAGAACCAACTCAAAAGTTGTCTTTTGATCTCTACACTCATGGGCACCCCCACACAAGAATGAATGGATAATTAATCAAATGTAAGTTTTAAAAATGGAGAAACAGACCAGTGGATCGGTTTTGGAAATCTGGTTTACTTACGGCTTCACCAAGACCAGGATCAGAGACCCCATGGTAGGACTGAAGAGAACCGGGCCGGACCTAAGATGACTGCCTGCACCCTAGTTCCTGTGTGGGTGGAAGTGCCGGCCTTGTTTCAAAACTCTCCTTCCTTCCCTATTGACAGTAAAATGCAGCCTCTGCAAAAGGGACCCACGTGGTGGCAGTGTGCACCACGGCCAATTTCCCACCAGGAAAGCCTGTGTTCTCTAACCCCAGTATTCCTGTTCCCGACTCCAGCGCTGTTGGAGGGTTCCCGTTCACGGTGTGATGTCTTCCAGGAATCAGGGCCAGGCAGATCCTTGGGGAAGAGGTTTAGATCGGTCAGCCTTAGGGGCTGTTGCTGGGTGCTGCTCATCTCCAGAAGCTGAGTGCCTTCCCTGGCAGGGATGAGGTCAAGATTTCCCATCTCACCCGCACACAAAAGGCCAGTCGGTGTCTGTGGAACCCAGGAGTGGGCTGGGTGGAAGGACACGGTGTGCGCGAGGGTCTGTAAGAGCAACAGACTAGGGCCTATTGCACATGTAGGTCTCAGGGCCCAAAACCCGCTCCACCAAGCCTCTCCGCCCTCCTCCCGGCCCTTCCCTCCCTTTCCAGACCACTAGGAAGGTGGTCTGCCCAGGGCATGGGGCGCCCTCTGCAGGCACGGGTAGAGATGCAGCTAGGCCCCGCCCTCCGGAACGCCCCCTACCGACCCTGGCGGCTTCGAAACGAGGTTCCTGCTGTTCCAGGGGCGCGTGTGGTTGCCCTGGAGACTGGACAACACCCCCCCTCCCGCCCCCAGCGCGCAGGCCTGCAGTGGTTGCCATGGCTGCTGGAGGCGAGGGGGCGCGGAGCCCGAAGCCACGCCCTATCCCCATGTAGCCCCGCCCCCGCTTCCCCGGCCCGCCCTCCCTGCCGCCCTCGCTGTTGCTGCCGCGGCTCCTGCCAGGGGTCCGCGGGGCTGTGGCCGGCGCAGCTGAGGTGCGGCTCGGAGCGGAGGCGCGGGGGCAGTGCCAGGCGCAGGCCAAGAAGGGCTGGGCCGTTCTCCTCGGGATGCGGCGCTGAGGCCCACTATGGCCGGCTTGGGCCCCACCTTCCCACTGCATCGGCTAGTCTGGGCGAACCGGCACCGCGAACTGGAGGCCGCGCTGCACAGCCGCCAGGTGAGGCCCTGCGGTGGATCCGGTTGGTCCCCGTGCCGAGGTGCGGAATCCATCCTGCAACCCACTTGCCCCTGCTCTGCTCCGCAGCCGCATCCTGACTCCTTAGCTCCAGCCTTGTCGGAAGCCCAGGTCACCTGCCCTTTAGCTGCATCTTCGGGCGCTGGGCCTAGCTCTGCTCTCTGCCCACTTCGTATTGCACTAAGCTCCGGATTCACCCTCCACCTCTGAGCTAAATTGAGGACAAGAACCTTGCTCTTGGTACTCAAGCTGATCCAGACTCTTGACATCCCTCACTAGACTCTGCTGCTAGGCCCCCGACTCTCTGGGTCGCAGCGGGCAGGAGAAATGAGCAGACAGACCCTTGCCATTGGCTCTCATTGCCTCCCTTACCCCGACATCCTCCAGCCCACATAGGCCACCCTCTATCTTCCCACTGACCCGGTTACTCTCTTTATTTCCCATAGTAACTCTAACCCTTTTCAACCCTGTGACCTCCTTGCTTTGGCCCTCTCTTGCCTTGTGTTGAGTGTCCCATCTCCCTCAGCACGACATTGAACAGGAGGATCCCCGAGGGCGGACCCCTCTGGAACTGGCTGTGTCCTTGGGGAACCTGGAGTCTGTGAGAGTCCTTCTTCGACATAATGCCAACGTGGGCAAAGAGAGCCACCAGGGCTGGGCAGGTACTATGCAGGGCAGGGGGTGGTGGGTGGGAGTGAGTAGTCAAGCCTGGGGTCACTAAGAGGACTTCCCCAGCAGCCGTTTATCTCCAGTCCTGCAGGAGGCAGTCAGCACTGGAGACCCTGAGATGGTGCAGTTGGTACTTCAGTATCGGGACTTCCAGAGGGCCACACAGAGATTGGCTGGCATTCCAGAACTGCTCAACAAACTTCGTCAGGTGTGGTAGGGCATAGGACGTGGTCAGTAAGGAAGTGGGGTATCATAAGGGTCACCCTGGTCCCTGTGACAGGCCTGGCCTTTGAAGAGTAAGTACCTGGACTGTGCAGTATGTTTTCCCACCGCCTTTACCTCTGCCAAAGGTCGTGTGAGAAATAGAGGCTCCCAGGCCCATGCATGTGAGACTAGGTCTTTTGGAAGGAAAGCATTCAACAGCACTAAGGGTTCCTGATGCTAGGAATCTCTTGGGCAGAATGGTAGGCCTTGAGCCTCCTAGAGAAGGTAAATTTCCAGAAGGGTGACTGGGTAGAGATGGCCTGGACCCTGGACTGCCTACTTCATCCTTAAGCATGCAGAGGACAGAAGCACAGTTGTTCCTGGAAGTGTCATTGTGTCCCCTTTACAGATCAGGACTCTGAGACACAGAAAAGACAAAGGCCCTTGGAGGGCCCCACAGTGGCCTGTGGGCCATGTTGACTGACCCCAGGCCATCCAGTGCTGATAGCTTCTTTATCTGTAGACCATTTTAGGGCCTACTTGGGCCCTCTCCTTGGCAGGGTTTGATTGGAGTGGGAGTGTAGTTGGGCCACAGCATTGCAGCCCAATTTGTGGGTTCCCAAAGAGGAGTGATGGACTGTGAGCCCCAAGGCCTCCTAGGCTATGGCACCAGACTCACAGGCCCTAACCGGTAGCTTTGGTCTCTTAGGCCCCTGATTTCTACGTGGAAATGAAGTGGGAGTTCACCAGCTGGGGTGAGTGGGGACCGATGGGCTGCCAAGATTTGGAGCGGGCTATTTGGGGAAGATTCCCGATGACTTTGAGACCCCTTGCAGTACCCCTTGTGTCCAAGATGTGCCCGAGCGACGTGTACCGTGTGTGGAAGCGTGGTGAGAGCCTGCGAGTGGACACTAGTCTCTTGGGCTTTGAGCACATGACCTGGCAGCGTGGTCGGAGGAGCTTCATCTTCAGGGGCCAGGGTGAGCTCTGGGGCACTCGTGGCAGGAACAAGTGTTCGGGCACCCTCAGATTCTCCTGTGACTTCTCTCTCTGCCCTTTCTGGGAGTGGAGACAGAAGCTGAGGGTGGAGGGGGGACCAAGGGGCTGAGGATGGATCTGCTTAGCAGCAGGTGGCTGAGGATAGCTCATTGGTGGGGCCTGGCACTGATATGTTCCCCTCCTGTGACACCCCTGTGGCTGACAGAGGCAGGAGCCTTGGTGATGGAAGTGGACCATGACCGGCAGGTGGTGCACACCGAGACCCTTGGTCCAGCTCTGCATGAACCGGAAGCATTGCTGGCTGCCATGCGGCCCAGTGAGGAACATGTGGCCAGTCGCCTCACGTCTCCTATTGTCTCCACCCACCTGGACACTCGCAATGTGGCCTTTGAGAGGTCGGTTGGGGCCTGGCACAGCATGGGTGGGCGTGGAAGAGAGATAGGAGAGCACACATTTTTTAAAAGTTAGGGTCTCACTGTGTAGCCCAGGCTGGTCTTGAACTAGAGACCCTCCTGCCTCAAATCCTGAGTACTGGGATTGTAGGTGTGTGTCACCACACCCAACATAAACCACCCTTAATAAGAGCAGACCTATCCTTAAGGTTCCTGACACCTGTGGGAGGCTGACCCCACCTGCACTAGAGACTGCTTAGATTGGGGTTCAGGGGTTACTGTGGTTTTTGTTAACAAATATATGCCATCATCACGGTCAATTTTTTAAAGGTTTTATCATCTCAAGAAGTAACTCTTTGGCTGCAATCTTCCTTTACCCAGCCCTAAGTATCCACTAATCTATTCTCTGTTGCTATTTGCACATGAATGGAATTTGAAAATCTGTTGCTTTTTGTGTATTGATTTCTTTCACTTTATAATGTTTTCAAGGTCCATCCAAACTGTAACTGTAGGATGTGACTCTTCACTCCTTTTTATGGATGAATGCATTGTACGAACATATCATAATTACTTTTTTTTTAGATTTATTTTTATCTTATGTGTGTGAGGGTTTTACCTGCATGTATTTATGAGCACCGTGTGCATGCAGTGCCCAAGGAGACCAGAAGAGGGCATCAGAGCCCTTGGAACTGGAATTATAGATGGTGGTAAACCATGTGAGTACTGGGAACCGACTCCAGTCCTTTGCAAAAACAGAGGTAAAATGCTCCTAACCATCTCTCAAGTCCCGATAATTAGTCTTTATTTCTTTATTTATATCATTCCATCACATTTGGGTTGTTCCTGCAGTTTGCCTATTAGGAATAATCAAACTGTATACTTTCATATAAGTTTTATGTGAAGGTGTGTTTTCATTTCTCCTAGATATATTACTAAACTTTGAGTGGAACTGCTGGGCTATATAACAACCCAATATATTTTTTTTTTTGTTTGAGGAAATGCCAGACTCTTTACCAAGTGGCCTGAATCATTTTATATTGCTACCAACAGTCTGTTCTCCACATTCTCACCAGTGTTCCTTATTGGTCATTCTTTGATTTTGGCATTCCAGCTAGGCTGATGAATGGGACAGACACCTCACTATGGGTTTGATTGGCATTTCTCTAATGACTAATGATGCTGAAGATTTTCTTATGTGCAAATTGGGTCATTTTATTCATTTTTATTTTTTGACAAATGTCTATTCCAATTCTTGAGTTTGTTTTATTTATTTTATTTTTGTTTGTTTGTTTGTTTTCAAGACATTTTCACTGTATAGCCCTGGCCATCCTGGAACTCACTCTGTAGACCAGGGTGGCCTCAAACTCACAGAGATCCCCCTGCCTCTGCCTCCCAAGTGCAGGGATTAAAGGCAAGCACCTTCACTATCATAATGACTGTTGCTTTGTAATAATTTTTTGTGCTTTTAAAAATATTTATTTATTGTGTGTGTGTATGTGTGTGTGTCACATGTACACATGCATGCCATGATGCACATATAGAAGTCAGAGGATAGCCTTAGGGAACTGGTTCTGTCCTTCTACCAGTTGGGTCCTGGGGACCTAGCTCAGGTCATTAGGTTTGGTGGCAGGTGCTTTTACTCAATGAGCCATTTTGTCAGCTTTTTTTTCTTCTTCTTCAAGATATGGTTTTTCTGTGTAGTCCTGGCTCTCCTGGGACTCACTCTGTAGACCAGGCTGGCCTCAAACTCACAGAGATCCACCTGCCTCTGCCTCCCGAGTGCTGGGATCGAAGGTGTGTGCCACCGCCGCCCGGCTTGTTAGATTTTGTTGGCTAATAATTTGATGAGGATCTTGTCTATATATTCATAAGAAATATTGGTCTGTAGCCAGTCTACGTGCCTCCCTTACTTCTTCTCTCTCTCTTTCTGTGATGGTGGTCCATGTGTGCGTGCCAGGCGAGCACCCTGAGTTATATGGTGGTCCGTGCGTGCCAGGCGAGCACCCTGAGTTATACCGTGGTCCGTGCGTGCCAGGCGAGCACCCTGAGTTATACCGTGGTCCGTCCGTGCGTGCCAGGCGAGCACCCTGAGTTATACCAGAGCTGGCAGTTTCCTTTTCATATCTTTGTCTGGTTTTGATATGTGGGCAAAATTTAACAGCATGAGTTGAAAAGTATGACCTCATCATCCATTTTATAGAAGAGTTGGCAAATACCTGGCACTGATTCTTTAAACTGTTGATAGAATTCCATGGTAAAGCCTTCAGTCCTGTGCTTTTCTCTCCAGGTAGACGATGGTGAAGAGAAAAAGAATCATCTGCTCACTTGCTGTAGACCTTGTTTAGATTATTTCTTCTTATGTCAGTTTCAGTAGTTCAGGCCTTACAAAGAATTTGTCCATTTCATCTAAATTACTATTATATTTTTGTATGTGTGTGTGCACACTCAGGACCTAGAGGCAGATGATTCTCTGTGAGTTCAAGATCAGCCTGGTCTACATAGTGAGTTCTCAAACAACAGTAACAAGAACCAATCATCCCAGATATCTTATCATCTCAATAATAAATGTTTCTGCATTCATGCCGAGTTTTTAACTGAGCCCCAACACCATTATCATACCTAATAAAATAAAGAATTGCTCTTGTGCCTCTAGTCCTTGGCCTTGTGCGAATGTTATAGCCGTCCAGTCCTCCTGGTCCAGGCCCCTCCGTGTGTCACTGTAGGCAAGGACCTTGGCAGTTGAGTAGTCGGGGCCACCAGCTAGGTGAAGGGCTCTTGCTGTGGACTGGGGGAGGGGTACGTGTCCTCACCTCTCCTGTCTGGTCTGTTGCAGGAACAAATGTGGCATCTGGGGATGGCGGTCTGAGAAGATGGAGACTGTTAGTGGCTACGAGGCCAAGGCAGGAAGGGCTACTGGGCTAGGGGACTTGGGGATAGCCTTGTGGGACCTGGAGGCTAAGCTCCTTCACCTCCTCATGCTGTGGAGAGAGAGGTGGAATTGGTTTTTTGACCCCAGAAGCCTAATCAACCAAAGTGACTTCCTATGGCCCAGAGACCCAGCCCCTGCTGACCCCTCCCTGGGCTCTGAGATGAAGTAATGGGGCTTGTTTGTTTTCTTTTGTTTTCCTTGGTTCTCTGACTACATGTCTCTGTTAGTGACTCCTGGAGTTCAGACCCTGCCACTTGCTTTCCTGTGGGGAAATTTTGTGTATCTCTGGGAACAGAGGACTTGGGTCCTGGGCTGATGAAGAGCAGGCTCTGAACCCTGAGTTCCCTGTGTCTCCCCTCGATCCACAGGTGTACAGTGCCACCAATGTGGAGCTGGTGACACGCACAAGGACAGAGCACCTCTCCGATCAGGACAAGTTACGGAGCAAAGGTAAACCCAGGTGCGCCTGCCCGCTGCCCGTCATCCAGTGGTCGGGCCAGGGCTCAACAGCCCCGGCAGGGGGGGGGGGGCTCCTTCCTGCGGAGCCCTCTCCCACTCAGCAGGAGGCTCCCAGGCAGAGAATGAACACAGGCCAGGGAATTGCCCAAAGTTCCCTCACGGTTCCAACTACTGACTACTTCTTCTCAGGGGGGAAGACTCCGTTCCAGTCCTTCCTGGGGATGGCCCAGCAGCACTCCTCCCACAGTGGGGTGAGCTTGACTGGGGAAGGGCTAGGCCAAGCCTGGGTGGGTGGGGCACTTTCCTGTTCCTACTGAGGGCTAAGTCCTATCCTGGGGTCCACTCAGGCTCCCGTGCAGCAGGCCGCCAGCCCCACCAACCCCACGGCAATTTCCCCCGAGGAGTACTTTGACCCCAGCTTCAGCCTGGAATCGAGAAACATTGGCCGCCCCATCGAGATGTCCAGCAAAGTGCAGAGGTGAGGTCTGGGGGCAGGTTGGGGAGTCCCACCAAAGACTTTGAGCATCAGCAGGGTCCTGTCATGCATGGAGTGCATCACAGCGAGGGATCTGCTCACCTAGTAGATTTCTCCCTGGCCAGCTCCAGAGGGTGGGAGCCATGTCTGTCTTTGCCGTGGTTTGGACACCTAGCATGCACCTGGGCATATTTGGGTGACGTCACCAATGTATTTGCTTGTTTGTTTGTTGTTTGTTTTGGGTCCCACTTGTAGCCCTGGCTTGTAGCTCTTTATGTAGCTCAGGTTGGCCTCCAACTCAGAACAGTCCAAGTGGTGGGATTACACCATTCCTGGCTTGTTTTTCTGTTCAACTCAGTGAGCATGTGCCTGGGACCAGAGCATGGCAGAGTGGGAAGGGCCCACAGCTCTGCTGTCCAGTGGTTTATAGCACAAGGAAATAATCTTCCCTTCTGGGAGTCTGTTTTTTTCAGAAAAACAAAAAGTCAACCAGATGTCCATGGTCACATGGATGTAGTCACGGTGAAGATGCTTTAGAGCGGGTCCCACAGATGTCACACAGCCTCACGTGGCTCTCCTCAGACATTGATTGGAGATGAGATTCAACCCCAGAGTGCTGACCTCTGGGCTGGGCTCAACACCCAAGCACGGCGCTTTTGTGTTTGTGTCCAGCACAGTCAAGTGTAGAGTGCTGACTAGCTTCGGACAAAGACCAGGCTGCAGATAAGGCCCAGATAAGCCCACAGGCTGGCTCTTGCCTCTCCTCATGCAGATCAAAAGAGCCATCAGCACCAGAATGGGCCAGGAGCTGAGACACATCAGGGTTTAGAGCCAGTGCTGAGTTCCCGGGGCAACAGTCCATCGGAGCTGGGCAGGGAAAAGGGCACCACAGGCAGGCGACCAGAAAGTGTGAGGCACCAGGGGTCCCGACCCACTTTCTCTGGTTGGCTGGATAGGTTCAAGGCAACACTGTGGCTAAGTGAGGAGCACCCACTGTCCTTGGGTGACCAGGTGACACCCATCATCGACCTGATGGCCATCAGCAATGCTCACTTTGCCAAGCTGCGGGACTTCATCACTCTCCGCCTCCCACCAGGCTTCCCGGTCAAGATTGGTGAGAAGGCAGCCAGGACTTGGGCATGACACCCTCCTCAGGTTTGGGGTTACTGCAAGGGGCAAGCAGCTCAAACCTGGCTCTCTCCTCTCAGAGATTCCCCTCTTCCACGTGCTCAATGCCCGTATCACCTTCAGTAACCTGTGTGGCTGTGATGAGCCTGTGAGCTCCGTGTGGGTCCCCGCCCCCAGTTCTGCTGGTTCTGCTTCAGGTATGGCTATAGCTGCAGGAGAGCTAGGTGGCTGTGCGGCTCCCCGATCAGCCTTGGGGCTGAACGTGACCCCTCTGTTACCCTGCCCAGGAAACCCTTTTCCATGTGAGGTGGACCCCTCTGTGTTCGAGGTGCCTGAGGGGTACAGTGTGCTGGGCGCTGAACGCAGCGAACCCCTTCGGGATGAGGATGATGACCTGCTTCAGTTTGCCATCCAGCAGAGCCTGCTCGAGGCGGGCACAGAGGCAGAGCAGGTGGGGTGCAAGCGGAAGGTGGGTCATGACCTCCACGGCCACAGGCCTGAGGTGACAGTTCTGGGCTCTGACTGCTGCAGGTGACTGTGTGGGAGGCCCTGACCAACACACGGCCTGGCGTTCTCCCTCCTCCCCAAGTCACAGTGTTTGAAGAGCAGCTTCAGCTGGAGCAGTGAGTCCCCCACGAACTGTGTGTGGGTCCTTGGCTGACTGGTGGGGAGGGTGGGAAGCGAGGGAGTTCTGATCGAGGGCTCCATACCTTCACAAGACAAAATGCTGCTCACCACCAGAAGCAGGAAGGGCCACAAGAGTCTTGCTTGTCTCTCTCCCTGACATCTTGTCCCTCACAATTTCATGCTCTTGGCTTCTCCTCAAGCCTTCTCATTGGTCTGTTCTCCTTCAACCCTGGCCCTGAAGGGCCCTCCAGGAAAGCCTACAGCTGTCCACAGAGTCCAGGGGTCCAGAATCTCCTCAGAGGACACCTCCATCCCCTGCACCCCCAAGCTTTGAGGAGCAGCTTCGCCTGGCTCTGGAGTTGTCTTCAAGGGAACAGGAGGAGCGGGAGCGACGAGGTCAGCAGGAGGAAGAAGACTTGCAGCGGATCCTGCAGCTGTCCCTCACAGAGCACTGAGCTGCCTGGCCCTAGAAAGGCTCTCCAGGATCATTCCTTCTGCCTGTTTTGTATTTATTTATTTATAAACTGTCTGCTGCTGAGCTTGGGGTCTGGGGTCCCAGAGGTAGGCTGGCAGTGAGGCCGAGGTGGAAATAAAGAGACCATCAGCAGTAGACGTGCTGTGCTCCGTGGGCTGGAACCAAGGGGACACTGGATGGGGATTACTGAAGGATGGTGACCTCATCTCTAGCTTTGGAACCTGTTTCTACAGCTGTAAAGTAAGGCCATCCCCTCACAGGTGCTCCAGGGGCGTCTGAGGTTCCCTTGGGTGCTACCTTGCCTACCCCAATGCCACCTGGTCTCCCTGGCGGGGGAGGCTGGGGCTTCCGATTCTACCCTCTGGGGAAAGCCCCCTCCCTCATCGCTGCAGCCTAGGCACAGGTTCCTACCCAGATTCAAATGTCTTCTACCAGAGTGACTAAGCCAGTCACACCCCACCCTCTGCACACAGTAACTGGGGAGGGGCTCAGCCCGTCCTGTTCAGCGCTAGAGCGGACCTTTTGAAATGTCTCCGGGCTTTGTGGACTGTTGCTGAGACTCCGACTCATTTCCTCACAAGCTTGCTGGTCTCCAAATTTCCTCAGAGTGGAGGAAAGAAGGCCAAGTGTAAAGGAGAGCAAGTTTGGATGGGATGGTAGATTTAAGACCCAGTCCCCCAGGCATGGTGGCGAAGTCTTCAATCCCAGCACTTGGGAGGCAGACGCAGGTGGATCTCTGAGAGTTCCAAGCCAGCCTGGTCTACATAGTGAGTTGCAGGCATGTCAGAGCTACTTTGTGAGACCCTGTCTCAAAAAAACAAAAGACTTATTGTCCTTGCTCCTTCCTTCCCAGGAGCCAGAGCATAAACCAAACAGTAGAGGGAGGTCCAAAGCTACTCAGTTGATCTTGCTAGGGGTAGCAAGGAGGGCTAGGCGCCTCCTGCGGGACCAGCCGAGGGAGAAAGCGAGGTCCGGCTCCTCACCTGCGCCCCGCCCTTGACCCCACCCTCAGCCCCGCCTCCAGCGTGGACGGGGCGGGGCGAGCTGAGCCGAGCCTGGAGGGGAGGGGCCGGCCGCTCGGTGCTAGCTCCGTGAGGCCGGACTGGGCATGAGTCGGGCCCTTTAAGGGCCGCTCCCGAGGAGGTGCCAGGCCCTAGTGGCTCCAACCTCTTCTTCCTGGTCGTGCGAAGGCAGGGACTGACCGTAGGGCTGTGGGAGGGGTCGTACCGGGTTCGCCCAGGTGACCCGGGCCTGGCCTTATGGCGCTGGTCACAGTGAGTCGCTCGCCGCCGGCTAGCGGCCACTCCACGCCTGTGGGACCCACGGTGAGTTTAGCTTGGTCTTACCCTTTCGCAGTTGGCTGCCAGCCGGGCCTGAGGGAGCACGTCCTGCCCCTGGCAGACGGCCTCACGCCTAGGAGTAGGCGGAGAGGGACCTTGGGTCTCAGGTTCCAGGGCACTTGGGAGGTCCTGAAGCTCCCAAGAGCTCGACCTAGGTAGATGCGAAGTCCTGAGAGCCAGGAGAGCCAGCCCAGCCTGCAGAGGCCCAGATCCTCTCAGATCCCTCCCACGTTCTGCAATCCCCTGTCCTTGCAGCCCCACGGTGCCAGGGCTCCCCTGGGGCCTGTGGAGGGGAGCGGCTTCAGAGGGAGATTTATTCCCCCCACCTAGGAGTCCCCTGAGGGAAGAGGAGCAGAGCTTTTGGGTACTTCCTGTCCTGGGGGCCGCTCTCTCACTCTGTCCCCGCGCTGTTTCTCAGCAGGACCGAGTGGCCAGGCGCAGAGGCCGGCTACAGCGCAGGTGAGTCCCTTCTCCAGACATAGGCTTCCTTATAGCCTGTGCCCTGGCCGCTGCCATTGTGGAATCCAGGTGTCTTGCGTGGACCGAGGACTCACTGAAGTATTCTGATAAACTCATGCTTAGGTGGGAGCCAGGTGCTGTGGGAGGAACTGGCAAGCATCACATTCCTGGCTTGTGGAAGAACCAGCGGGCCTACCTTGGCCCTGGTCAGTGGATGATTTCACACATTCCCTGGACCTTGGCTCAGGCCAGTGATCACAGGCTCAAGGGCAGGATAGGACCTGAAGATGTATAGGTGCTTAGACAAGTTTAGAGCATCTGAGCCCACCCAGGAAAGGGACACATCCTCAGATGTGAGCTCAAGGCTGGCCCTCTGGGTACTGGCCATTATCAGGGTCCTGGTTAAAACTTCAAACTGTGCCTCACTCCCGGAGAGCTGACTCAGGAGAGCAGGCTAGCAATCCATTTCAGCAATCCCCTGGGGGGACTCACCCTTGCTAAAGTTTGAAAACCTATGGCCGGAACCATTTCCCTATCGCTCTGCCAGGCAGAGTTTTGCGGTGCTCCGAGGGGCTGTCCTGGGACTTCAGGATGGAGGAGACAGTAATGATGCAGCCGAGGCTGGCTCTGAGCCAACGGAGGAACCCTTGGGTGAGAAGCAGCTCACTGAGGACCAGACCGACAATGGGCAAGAATTCCAGAGTCCTTGGAAACAAGTGCAGAGGCAGCATCTGCACCTCATGGTGGAGCTGCTGAGACCACAGGACGACATCCGCCTGGTAGGGGCCGTGCAGAGCTTCTATCGATTGAGGAGCAATGCTGTGAGATTAGGGGGCACCCAGGCAGTTGGAGGGAGGATTACCCAAACCCCAGGAACTCTGCCACTTCAGCCAGAGGCATCTTAGCAGGGCAAGGTCATGTCTGTCTCCAGAGGGCTGTGAAAAGACAAGGGAGGTTTGTCCTGTGTGAGCCAAGAGGTGGGGGTTACTTGAGGGAGGTTTCTGTTGATCCACAAGAGGCCCCTGTTGATACTAGTGAGTTGCCCAGAGATGGACTCATACTCCCAGGGTTTATGAAGCATGCCTTGGCAGCTGGTGTACCAGCCAGGCAAACAGCAGCCACAGAAGACAGGGGTCTACTGGAACCTAAGAGCCAGCTCCTGAAAGTCTGTGGAGGCAGACATTCGCTGTTGGCAGCAAAGTAGGAAAAACAAGGTGCAGGTTTCGGTAAAGCAGGCTTTACAACAGGAATTTTTTAAACTTACTTCTATGTTGTTTGGTGTTTTGCCTGCATGTATGTCTGTGTGAGGGTGTCAGAAGCCCTGGAACTGGAGTTACAGACAAGTGTGAGCTGCCATGTGGATGCTAGGAATTGAACCCTGGTCCTCTGGAAGAGCAACCAGTGCTCTTAACCACTAAGCCATCTCTCCAGCCCCAGAAGTGCTGTTCTAACCCATTATAAGATGAAATCCTTCTAGCATGTATGAGGCCCTACATCATTCCTTTGGTTGAAGGCATTTCTCAAATAAAATATTGGCGAGTGTCAGAGTTTAAAAAAAAATCTCTTTGCAGGGCTGGAGAGATGATCCAGGGCTTAAGAGCTCTGATTGCTCTTCCAGAGGACCCTCAGTTCAATTCCCAGCACCCACATGGTAGCTCACAGCCATCTCTAACTCCAATCCCAGGATAGCTGACATGCTTCTGGTCTCTCTGGGTGCCAGGCATGCACGTGGTGCACAGACATACATGCAGACAAAGCATCCCTACAAATAAAATAATTTTTCAAAAGATAAAACCTCTTTGCTAGGCAGAAACAAAAATGAGGCTGCCTCTATTAATGCTGTCCTCCCCGCCTCCCCCCCCTTTTTGGGGACGAGGGAGGTGGTGTTTCAAGACAGGGTTTCTCTGTGTAGTCCTGTCCTGGTTCTCACTCTGTAGACCAGACTGGCCTCAAACTCATGGAGATCCTCCTGCCTCTGCCTCCCTAGTGCTGGGATTAAAGTCGTGTGCCGCCACCACCACCAGCCTCCCTCCTTTTCTTACACTCCTCATTTAAGGCTTTTAAAAAGACAGTTTGTTGAGCCATAAATTGCAAAATTTGAGTATCACTGTGTTCTCAGGTAGCCACTGATCTTCTGTCTGGGAGTTGGGAACAGGGGCCAGCAAGGCACAAGGTGTGTCTATGTGGGAGTGAAGGAGCAGAGCCAGGAGCCCCTATGATTCCCAGCTTCTTCCATTTTCCCAGGCATCCCAGCTGGAGGCAGCCCGGCCCCCACGACTCCGCTACCTGCTGGTAGTGTCCACAGGAGAGTGTCTGAGTCAGGAGACCATTCTTCTGGGGGTGGACTTTCCTGACAGCAGGTAGGAGTAGGGAGAGGAGGGTTGGGGCAAAGATATGAGATGCTGAGGGACAATGGCTCTCCTGTCTCCTGTCAGCTCCCACAGCTGCACCCTGGGCCTGGTCTTGCCCCTCTGGAGTGATACCCAGGTGTACCTGGACGGTGATGGGTAAGAGGTGGTAATGGGAGGGAAAGAGGAGGAAGGGAGGCGGGCATTGAGGACAGTGGGACTAGGGCTGGGACCCACTCTATCTTACCTACGATCATGGGAAAGTCACCTAGCTCTGGGCCTCAGCCTCCCCCATCTGACAGATGAACAGGTTCTCTGAGGGCCTGGTATTTGGTTCTACCCTCCCTGGGTCTTCTGCAGGGGCTTCAGTGTGACGTCTGGTGGTCAGAGCCGAATCTTCAAGCCAGTCTCCATCCAGACCATGTGGTAAGTGCTGCAGTCGCCTAGCCTTAGGCCAGCCTCTTCTTGGGAGATGGCCTCCAGGCCCAGGAGAGGGAACCAAGTAAGACTGTGTATCTTAGCCTCGCTTTCTTGTCCCAGGGCCACGCTGCAGGTACTGCACCAGGCCTGTGAGGCGGCTCTAGGCAGTGGCCTTGTGCCTGGTGGCAGTGCCCTTGTCTGGGCCGCTCACTACCAGGAGAAGCTGAACTCTGACCAGGGTTGCCTCAACGAGTGGATGGCCATGTCTGACCTGGAGTCCCTGCGCCCACCTGTTGCTGAGCCTGGACAGTCAGTGCTGGGGCTGGGGGAGGGGAAGGAAAGGTGGAGGGGTGGTACCGCAGTGAAGGGATGGCCTCTTACCGAAGGATCACTTCTAGGGCCTCAGAACAGGAGCAGATGGAGCAGGCGATCCTGGCTGAGTTGTGGCAGGTGTTGGACACCAGTGACCTAGAGAGTGTCACTTCCAAAGAGGTGGGCAGCGTGGCTGGGCCTGAGACTCGCCTTGCTTTGGGGCCTTTCTCACCTTGCTTTCCTCCAGTCCTGAGGCATTCCCCCTAACTCCAGCTGTGTAGAGGGGACAGGGTACCATCCTCAGAGGCCTCACCGGTCTGGGGACCTGGACTCTTCCCGTGCACCACCCCGTAGATCCGCCAGGCCCTGGAGCTGCGCCTGGGACGCCCTCTCCAACAGTACCGCGATTTTATCGACAACCAGATGTTGCTGCTCATGGCCCAGCAAGACCGGGCCTCCCGCATCTTCCCCCACCTCTACTTGGTGAGTGCAGGCTGTTGGAGGTGGGACCAGGTCACCCGTGCAGCTACTGTGACAGGTCCTGGAGCTAGAGGCCAGCCACGGGAGCCCAGTCCTCTTCTTCCATTCCCGTTCCACAGGGCTCTGAGTGGAATGCTGCCAATCTGGAGGAACTTCAGAGAAACAGGTAAGAGTTCCCCAGCCTCAGGACTGCCAGTCATTCTCTCAGTCTTCCTGTGGGGTAGCCTGGCCAGTTTCTGGGACCTTAGGTCACCCCCCACACTGCTGGTTTTGCTTTTAACTCAGTGCTGGGGAGGCTGCACTCACGTGGGCTCTGAGGCCTCAGCAGCACGCCGTCTGCCCCACTAAGCACACAGGACAGTGCAGAAATGAGACCAGGGGTGCTGGTGGGCACGTGCCAGCAGAGGAGGTTCCTGCCCACCTGGCCACCTCTTCCAGCAGAAGAAAATGCCTTCTAGTAGAGATGTGGTTGCCACTTCTGAAAGGAATCTGCCATCCCCACCTTGGGCTTCTGGGAGACCTGCTGTAGCCCTTACCACCTGTTGCTGAGAGCCCCCTAATCTCAGCTAAGCTTGAAAGCTAACTGTAGTCAGAGTCATGGAAGAGAGTTAGTGTTGACTTAACGCGGAAACTCAATCCGCGGAGTAAAACAGTGTACCCAAGGCCAGTTGGCAGGTGGCTGGCTCAGTTCTCTTCCTACTCCAAGTGTTCCCATCCCCTGACTCAGAACCAAGAACCCAACAGAAGTGGCCAGTGAGCCTGGTTCCTCTGCCACAGTCAGTCTAGTTTGGACCCTCTGGTACAGGGTAAGCCACATCCTGAACATGGCCCGAGAGATCGACAACTTCTTCCCTGAGCGCTTCACCTATCACAACGTGCGTGTCTGGGATGAGGAATCGGCCCAGCTGCTGCCGCACTGGAAGGAGACACACCGCTTCATTGAGGATGCCAGGTGGGCTCCTCCCAGTCTGCTGCCCCAGCCCCAGCTCCCGGCGGAGACTGGTGCCCTCCTCCTGCCCATGCTGCCTTTGGTTCTGTTTCCCTCACTGATCTCTCTGGCCTCACTGCCTTCTCTCTGCTGGGTCCTCAGCCCTTCCCTGCCCCTTCCCAGTCTGCAGGCCACTGGGGCTGAGGGAGAGTGGACTGACCATGTCCCACCTCCATAGAGCACAGGGCACTCGGGTGCTGGTCCACTGTAAGATGGGCGTCAGCCGCTCTGCCGCCACGGTGCTGGCCTATGCCATGAAACAGTATGGCTGGGGCCTGGAGCAAGCCCTGGTCCATGTGCAGGAGCTCCGGCCCATCGTGCGCCCCAACCCTGGCTTCCTGCGCCAGCTACAGACCTACCAGGGCATTCTGACTGCCAGGTATGGGGGAAGGGACGAGGGAGAAGGTGATGTGTATACTGGGGGGTGGCTGCTGTGTCACTCAGAGCTGACTCAGAGCCTCCTCCTCACAGCCGGCAGAGCCATGTCTGGGAGCAGAAAGTGGGTGTGGTCTCCCCAGAGGAGCCCCTGGCACCCGAAGTTTCTACACCATTGCCACCTCTTCCACCAGAACCAGGGGGCAGTGGGGAGGTAATGGTTATGAGTTTAGAGGAGACCCCAAAAGAAGAGCTTGGACTGAGGCCCCGCATCAACCTCCGAGGAGTCATGCGCTCCATCAGCCTCCTGGAGCCCTCCTCAGAGCCAGAGAATACCCCAGAGGCTGGAGACCTGCCGGAGGTGAGTCTGGGCTGGAGAGCTCGGCCTGCAGTAGCCTTGCAGAGGAGAATGTGGGGGCAAAGTGCTGGAGTTTGACTTAAGGCTCCGGTAGGTCCCTCACAGTAGGGTGTTGTCCTCGCTTCCTCCATACTGACTGCCTCACACCTTTCTGTGCCAGACAACTCAGGACTGTCCTGAGTACCTAAAGGTGGGGACCACCTTTGGGCTCCTCCTTTTATGCCAGGCCAGGCAAGAGCGGTGGTCCCAGGGTCTAAGCAGTTGCAGGTCTGACTGGAAACAAGAACAGTCCCGTCCCAGCCTGACAAACTGGCCCATTTCCTAGGGGGCTTGGCTTCTAGCTTTGGAGTGGGCATCTTCCTCAAGCTGTGAGCTCCACTGCCAGCTGATGGCTGGCAAATCTTCCTCTACTAGATAGGGTAGGTAAGAGCATTCCTGATGCCCTCCTAAAGCCGAGGAGCCACCCAGCCAAGTGCAGAGAAGGGCCTTTGTACTCACCCAGTGGATTAGGTGGACAAGCATGTTGTGTGCTGAGAGTTGATGGGCGCAAGCTAGGACAGGAAGCTGGCCCTTGCCTGAGGAAGCCAGGCCCCACATGTGACATGAGGTCACAGGGCTGACTCAGAAGGAACCGGCAGGCAGAATGTTTAGGTGCTGGGTATGGACCAATAGGGAGGCATGGGATTGATGGTGGGTTATTGTCCTATGAGGCACCAAGACACTGGTATCCACAGAGCTCTTTGCAGGGCCTGGCCCCTGTCAGGGGTTCCGCTGTGGCTCACAGGATTGAATGTACAAAGGCAGAGAGGTGGGAGGATTAGGTGGTGGAAGTTAGATTTGGTGGCCTAAGAAGGCTGCTAAGGACCAGAAGAAAGCTCAGGGATGGGGGGCCAAGGAACGGCTGGGTGCTGTCTTCCCGGGAAGTGTGTGCCTACTCCTTTCCTGGCTCTGAGCTCCCTGTGGCTCTTCTTCCTCCCCCACCCAGGTTTTCTCTTCCCGTGAGTCTTCAGATGAAGAGCCTCTTCATCCCATCTCTCAGCTCTCAACAGCCAAAGGTGGTCAACGGGTTCGCAAGGGGCCTTGGCCTGCCCTGAAGTCTCGCCAGTCTGTGGTTGCCCTTCACAGTGCTGCCCTGGTGGCCAGCAGGACCCGGGCCTTCCAAGAGCAGGGGGAGGCTGGGGTGTCCTCTGCACCTAGGCTCCGGAAAGTGGTGAGGCAGGCCAGTGTAGATGAGAGCAGGGAGGACGGTGGGGCCTAAGCCTTTCTACTCTGTCCCCTAGACACTAAACGAGGCTGGCCACAGCTCCTTAGATGGGCGCCCTTTCCACCTATGGACACCCTGAACACTCCATGTAGCTCCTCCCCAGCAATTCCCAGACCTTGTCACTTCCTGCAGCCTTAGGGCTCAGACCCATGTCTACCTGTCAAGGGCTTAAGACTTTTTCTACATAGGGTATATGGGTAGAGCCGTTCAAGGTGCCTTGAAGGGTAAGAAGACCCTAGTTTCTTTTCCCACCCACTCTCTAACACTTTATGCAGCCATGGAATTAAAAGCAGAAAATTTTAGGGCAGGTTTTCTGGTGCCCTCAACTTCTGGCCATTCCATCCTGTTCCTTCCTCTCCCACTGCAGGCAGCTAGGCCAGGGAACCAGTGGCCACAAAGGCAGATAGCACTTTCAGTCCCCAGCCCCACAGGCTCTGAGGGGCTCACCCACCCCCCAACACACACACACAACCGACCAGAGCCTCTGCTGCTGTCCTGAGTCTCCTGTGGCCCTCACTGGGTCACAGGGCACTGGGCCAAAGAGAGTCTTCTTGTTCGTGAAGATCTCTGGCCAGTCAAGTTTTTCACAGTCGTACAGTACCTGGCTTTGTGCTGAGAAATAAAGACATTTTCATATGAAGTTCTTTCCATTTGGTGACAAAGCCATCTGCCTTTCAGTCAGATCCTTCTCTGTTTACACACGGCACTCCCCCTCTCCTACCCACTCCAGCTTTGTGTCTCTCAGGTGTCCTGTGACAGACCTGTATTGATTGACTGGTATGTTGGGGGAGGGGAAGGGGTAGCCAGTGCTATCTCCTCATCTCTAGGGCACAGCCTGGGTAAATGTTAGCCATCCTGCCCATCAACAGGTGCAGGGGGAACAAGCCTGATTGGGGTAGCTAAAGGAAGTTAACTCTGAGTAAGTAGGAACTGCGGCCGCCGCCGCCGCCGCCGCCGCCGCCGCCGCCGCCTACCTGGACTAGACCAAGCCTGTCCTTAAGGCTCAACTTCCTTTAGGACATTTGTGCCACTCCTTGAGGATATTTGGGTTCCAAGAATCACCTTCCAAGCCCGGCACGCCTTTAATCCCAGCACTTGGGAGGCAGAGGCAGGAGGATCTCTAAGTTCAAGGCCAGCCTGGTCTACAGACCAAGTTCCAGGACAGCCAGAGCTACACAGAGAAACCCTGTCTCGAAAAACCAAAAAAAGAAAAGAGGAGTTAGTGCTTCCATCATAGTCATTTCCGTCCTGGTCCCAAGATCATGCTCTGTGCTTTATGACACTATGACATACTGCACTGGTTTGGGCTAAGTGTGTTCAGTGCTGAACAGCCCTGCTTCCTGAAGCTGGGACACAGTCAGGAACTTAGCTCCTCCCAACCCCTGTTCACAAGGACCCTAAGAAATAAGGACTTGGCATCAGGGAAACAAAGACTGGAAAGGAAACTATACAGCTGGGAGGTGGTGGCGGCGCATGCCTTTAGTTCCAGCATTTGGGAGGCAGAGGCAGGTGGATCTCTGAGTTCGAGGCCAGCCCGGTCTACAGAGCGAGTTCCAGGACAGGGTCCAAAGCTACACAGAGAAACTCTGTCTCGAAAAACCAAAATAAATTAATTAAATAAAAAGACTTGCGTATACAAAGCTTAAACAAACTGCTAAAGCGCTTAACAGAAAATGAGGATGTAGTCTCTGTCCTGCTCTTCAGTGACTCACTTCCATCTTCTCAGGCAATGGCTATTCACAGCCTGTGAGGCCCTCCAAAGACGATCCATGATTACGTAATCAAATATACTAGTGTGTGTATTCTTTGGAAATGTAGGTGATAGCATATACAATCTTTAATTACATTTGTGTACTTGGTGTGCATGTGCACACAGATGCCATGGCTTGTGGTGAGAACGAGAGAACAGCCGGAGGGAGTCAGGTTCCCCCAACATGTAGGTTCCAGGGACCCAACTCAGGTATTCAGTCTCGGTGGCAGGTGTCCTCCCACTGGCCCCAGACAACAGCACAGTAAAATTCTAGGCCAGGCGGTGGTGGCGCACGCCTTTAATCCCAGCACTCAAAAGGCAGAGGCAGGTGGATCTCTGTGAGTTCTGGGCCAGCCTGGTCTACAGAGGAAGTTCCAGGCCAGCCTGGTCTACAGAGTGAAACCCTGTCTCCAAGCAACAACAGCAACAAAGTTCTGTAGAGCACTTTGAAATAATTTTCAAACCATAAGTTTCACATAACTTTCACATAAAGATATGCCCCAATTTTAAAATGCCAGCCATAGCTTTTTCAGTGGTAAAGGGTTTGCCTAGCATGTCATGGCCCTGAGTTCAACACCAAGCGTCACACATAAAAAAAAAATAACCATACATATTCAAATTCACAGGCTCTTATGTATTTAAGTAACCTTTAATTTTTTTTTAATTTATTTTTTGAGACAAGGTTTCTCTTTGTAACCCTAACTATCCTGGAACTCACTCTGTAGACCAGGTTGGCCTTGAACTCAGAGATCTGCCTGCCTCTGCCTCCCCAGTGTCGGGATTAAAGGTTTATGCCACTTGCTCGGCTATATAAGCAACCATTTATTGATGAACAGTCTGTTTACGTTTTCTAAAAATCCCATTCCAAGTAACATTTCACTAAGGTCTCTTCTCCTTGTCCGCAGCAAAAAAATATTTTGTTTGCTACTAAGTCTGTAGGACATAGTTCTAAAATTGCTAAAGCAAAGATATGCATTTTTAATTTCGCGAGACATTGCCTAATTTCCTTCCAGGAAGTTGCACCTATTTACAATAAATGGGAAAGTCTACCTCCTTCACGGGCCATCCAGCCTGCCCGCCCAAGTCAACTTGCAATACTCTCAGAGTGACAAAGGTCAGCTTTACAACCACCGGTGTTGAGGAACCAAGACTCAGAAGAAACTGCCGAGTGTCTGAGAGAGCCTCAATCCGATCCTGGGTTTCTAGATTTCAATCCAGGAGCCTGACTCCGGGCACGGAGACGTCTGTTTCTCGAATCAACTCACGGATTTTACACCGGTGCTCAAGCGGCGCAGAACCGCCTGGAAACACCCAACTCCGACAGGCAGGGCCAGAAAAACCCTGCGCTCAGGGTCTCCGTTCAACTCCCGCCTGACTCGGCAGCCCCGACTTGAACACTCGCGGTAATGGGGAGCTCGCTCGCATCTCTCCCGGTAGCCCCACCTTGGGCTAGTTCTCATCTTCAGAGCCTTCTCCGGGCCCGGAGCCCGGGGCAGCTCCTCTTCAGGCTGTTTAAAGACACAACAAAATCAAACCCTCCTCATAGCTCGCGCTTCCGCCTCCACTCGCACGCAAGACGCCTCAGAGCTAGGGCCGTCCCAGAGAGCGACCTTTCAGGCGGCGGCGGCCTCGCGTCAGGCCGCAGCAACAGCGAAAGCGGGGACTCTCGGCTCGTTAGCACCAACCGCGACGCTCGGGCGCCATCTCGTGGCCACTCCTCAGACCTAGTAGCGGCAAACTGGAAACTACATGTCCCAGCGTGTCTAGCGCAACTGCGCAGGCGCAAAGGACGTCCTCTCGTTTCCATGGGAACCTCGACCCCCCGGAGAAGCCCGATAGGTGTGCTGTGAGGGGTTAGAATGTTGCTCCCTTAGAAGCTAGGAGCTAGGTGACCAGGTCTGCAGACCATTACGGGAACAAAGTGGGGAACTGCCTCCCGGGACCAGCGCTGCCAAATTCTGCTGGGTCTCCCGGCGTCCGCGCTCTCCCGGGGCCTCAGCGTCCCGAGGAACCCGACGAGACCAATGTTTTGCTCTGGCATGCAACGTGCGGCTCGTCTTGAGCCAGTCTCTAAATCTTGTCGCCCTCAGCGGAGGGCCTGCGCGCCACCCACAGGTACTCCCCCGGCTCGAGCGGACAGCGGGCGGGGTAGTAGTGGGCGCTGAGTGAATGTGGAAGTAGAATTCTTATGCCTGGGAGACCAGCGCACCTCGGGCTTGGACCTGATTCTGCCTCCAAAGAACTGGGACCCCAGGTTGACCCTCAGTTTCAGTATTCGTCCTTGTTCCCGCCCAATGCAGAGGGATTTGCCCTGGAATAGAGGAAGACAAGTCCCTCTATTTCGTTGAACCCGAGTTCCTGTCTCTTTAAAATAAGGAAGGAACTTTTGAGCAGGATATGGTGGTGTACCCTTTTAGATGAAAGTGGATCTCTGTGAGTTCAGGCCAGCCCGATGTTCATATCGAGTCCAGGCCAGCCGAGGCTACATAGTGAGAACTTGTCTCAAAAAATAAAATTAAAAATAAAGTAAAAAGGAGCATGGAGCAAATAATCCCCAAGGTGTTTTCTAGCTATACAATTTACCTACAGCTAGAGTCGCTTCCCCTCACCAAGTGCAAGAGGAAAAAAAAGATGGTGGTGGGGATGAGATAGTTTTATTTTTTAATAGTATTTTTATTTTATAATTAACTTAATTTCATGTATCAGCCACGGATTCCGCCGTCCTCTCTCCTCCCACCCCCAGGGGATGAGATGGTTTAAGCAGGAATCCTAGCCTGGGATGTGATCCAGTCAAAGTTGGATTTGTGATTTGGGTGCAGACTTATTACACCTCCTGAGCCTCTGTTTCCTCATGTGCACAAATAAGGGTAAGGATAGTGCCAACTCGTGTTTTTTGTCTTTGTTTTAAGGTTCATTAACTTTAAATTCTGTGAGTTCAGCTGTCCTCGAACTCACAGAGATCCACCTGCCTCTGCCTCCCAAGTGCAGGGACTAAAGGCGTGTGCCACCACTGTCCAGCCAGATCCCTTATTTTTGAAGTAACTTCTTTTATTTCTGGGCATACCCATTCTTTTCGGGTAGGATCATATATTTACAGCTGAGTCTACTACTCACTCAGGTTCGATGCTGAAGGCCAGTGCACTCACTGGCACAGTGTGTAGGGATGGCCCAAGGTCCAACATCTGGTACTGGGGAGGATACTTTTCCTCCCTTAAGATTCTTAGAGGAAGTGAGCACTTACATGTTCTGTGAAATGCATGCAGTGCCCACAGAGGTCAGAAGAGGGCATCAGAGCCTCTAGAATTGGAGTTAACAGACAGTTGTGAGGTGCCATGTAGATGCTGGGAACTCAACCAAGAGTGGCTGGCGCTCTGAACTGCTAAATCATCCCTCCAGCCCATGAATATTCTTTATACTTTAATCTGGGTCTTCCATAGCTTCACAAAGAACCTCCATTCATCTAACCAACATTTTTATGTGGAAGCTATTCCATGAAATTTGTTTGTAGATTTATTCATTTTACTTTATGTGGATATGTGTTTGCTTGCATGTATGTATGTGTACCATGTGCATGCCTGGTGCCCATGGAGGTCAGGAGAGGGCATCAGATCCTCCTGGAACTGAGATTAGGGATGCTTGTGAGCAGCCATGTGGGTGTTGAGAATCAAACCTGGATCCTCTGCAAGAGCAGCAAGTGCCCTAAGCCACTGAGCCATCTCTCCAGTCCCGTGAACAGTTTTTTGTTGGGTGGGGGTGGGGGTGGGGAGGGGTTGAGATAGGGTTTCTCTGTGTAGCCCTGGTTGTCCTGGAACTTGGTCTGTAGACCAGGCTGGTCTTGAACTCAGGTCAGCCTGCCTCTGCCTCCTGAATGTTGGTACTAAAGATGTGTGCCATCATCACCTGGCTCCCATGAACATTTTTAAACACCTATTATATATGTGGTACTGTGTGGGGTACTCTGAGGAATATGATGTATAATACAACCATTTCCCCTGGAAACATAGGATCTGACAGGGAAGTAATTATGAGTCCAAACACATAATTTAAGTAGAAATTAATGTAGCATTCAAGGCCCAGGTCACTGTGCTCTGGAGTTCCAAAGCAGGAGAGACCGCTCCCAAGAATAAGAGGAGACTGCACATGAGCTTCCTAATATATGTGTAAAGTGTATAAGTAAAAAATTAGAGAAGAGAGATTCTAGGGGCCCTTCTTAGAGCCTGTGACGTGTAGAGAATGGTCTGTATCCTGACTCGATGGTCCGTGAAGACAGACTCTGCTGCTCACTTACTCCCTGCCTGACGTATGGTTGACACAGTACAAGTATCAGTGACTAGTTCTCCACAAAGGGGAACCAGGCTGGGGCCTGTAAATCACCTACACCTTCATACAGCCATTCCTATAGGAGGAAGGGTATGACCAGGCAGATGGCTATGGGGCACGAGCCAGATGGTTGGCATATCTCCTACAGTCCCACTGAGAAAACAAATGCATGAAGTCTCTTAAGGGTGTAGAAAGGTCTATGAACTTCCTTTCCTGGAGCTTAAGGGAAGAGCTATGACAGGAGGGATGAAACTTAGACCAGGAAGCAATCTTTTTGTTTGTTTGTTTGTTTGTTTGTTTGTTTGTTTTTTCAAGACAGAGTTTCTCTGTGTAGCTTTGGAGCCTGTCCTGGATCTCGCTCTGTAGCCCAGGCTGGCCTCAAACTCACAGAGATCCTCCTGCCTCTGCCTCCTGAGTGCTGGGATTAAAGGCACATGCCACCACCGCCCGACTGAAACAATCATAAAGAACAGTAGTGGATATCCCTTTGTTTACATTTGGACTTCTTTTCCTATGACCAACTCTTCCCCAGGGACATTTCTCTCTATCTGTAACCCCTTTGGTTTCGGGAAGCTATATCCGTCACACTAGATTACCAGACTGCTGCAAAAGGATGGCATTAGCACCAGCAGCTCCATCTTCAGGGTGGTTTGGGGGGTCCTGCTTTTCTCCAGTTCTACCCAGAAGTTACTCCTTCAGAGACAGGTGTCTAGGGATGCAGGGCAGTGGTGTCTCTTGGGGAAGGCACAAATAGGTAAGACTGAGCCGGGCAGTGGTACATGCCTTTAATCCCAGCACTCGGGAGGCAGAGGCAGGCAGATCTCTGTGAATTTAAGGCCAGCCTGGTCTACAGAGCGAGTTCCAGGACAGCCAGGACTACACAGAGAAACCCTGTCTTGAAAAAACCAAAAACATAAAACAAACAAACCAAGATAAGACTGAAAGAAGAAAGGTTCAAGGACAGGACCTTGAACTTATCAAGGGTCTGAGTTCTCCTAGTCCTCTTGCTTGAGGTGGATGCAAAGTCACCTTCAAAACGGGAAATGGTATAAAAGAGAGGCAAGAGAACAGCCAGTTGTCTCTAGATATGGGGTGGTTCAGGACTGCAGGGGACTACAAGTGCTCCCTTTCCTGGAGAAATGAGCCAAGGAGAGCCCTCCCCCTCCTGCTGGCCCCTGCTGGTACCTGGAGCCCTACCTTTGCTCTGCGCTTGCTCCTACTCACTGGCTGCTGGTAAGTGCTTGAAGGGTGTGGGAGAGTCCTTTGCAGCTAAGTGTCCAGGGAAGCCTGCTACCTCCCGCCTGATGGCTGAGAAGTCAGGATAAGCCCGTGTTTACCAGGGAGGCTTGAGTCAGCTGGTTTCAAGAGTATGAGGGTCTTTTACCATTTGCAAAGCTGCCACTAACAGATCTCATTTGCTCTCAGTAGCAGCGGGTTCTTGGGAGATAGCTTCACTTTTCAGCCTGAAGGTTTGGGTTCTTAGGGTGTAGAGCAAAAAGCTCAACATGGTACTGAGACCAGTTAGCTTTCCTGCCTGTTATCACTAAGGGGGATGTCTTCTTCCTACCGGGGCACAACAGACCTCTGCTGGATTCCGGAAAGCAGCTCTCTTTCCAGTTCAGCTAGAATTTCCTGCCTATTTTCTACAACCTTCCAGTATCTGTTGTCAGATATATTAGAAGAGAGTCTCTCATTCCCATGCCTCGTTAGATGTAAACCCATCCCCATGTGGATAGTCCCATTTGAGCATCACAGGGAGGGGCACACAGAGGGTGCAAGACCGTGCCAAAGCAGACCCTGTCTGCTGACCTGATCAAGTCAGAGACAGCCGTGGGGTGAGAGGGGTCTGGGTAAAAGGCTATATTGACAAGAGGGAGCAGCCTGCATGTGTCCTACATGATATGTCCTCATGTGTCCTGAGGAGGTTTGGAGATAGGTGCGTTTACCCAGGACAGCAGCAGCCGAGTTTTCCAAGTAGCCATCTTGGTTTGGCTGACTGATTCCCTGCCTAGGAAGCCCTCAGGAGACCATACCATCCCCCACTGATGGCTCAGCTACATGTCTCCTGCCTTGCCCGCGTTCTGATGACCACATTGTCCTGAATGCTTCTGTGTTGGGCTGAACTCTGTCTCCTCATAAGGTCTCGCTGCTGCTGTCCCTTCTTTTTAGGCAAGATCAGCAGAAGCTGCTGAACACAGGAGCACATGCCCTTTGGTGGGCCCCAGCATCCAGTCTTAGGGGTGTCCTGTTGAAGTGTGCTTCTGGGACTATATCTCTGGTTCCTATTCTCTGACAAAGGAGAAGGGACTCAGGTCAGAGGGGAGGGCAGAAACGCCAGGGACTTGGAGCCTACGTGGGAAAGGGCCATGTTAAAGGGATTCAATCTTGGAACCAAAGGCCAGGAAACTAAGGTGGCCTGGGCCCCAAGGTTCTTGACAATGGGTTGTAGGGCCAGGCAAGGGCTGCTCTGAGCAAGGAACTGTCCTTGGAAGAAGGATTCCTTTTCTGGTTGGCCCCATGTCGGGGTGTGAGGGCCTGTGACAGTCCCCTTTGACACAACCGATGATCAGATTCTAACGGTCTTTCAAACATCCCCATCCCGTGACCACGCCTTCTCTGCTGACTCTGGGCTCAGGGTGGTGTCATGCCGTCAGCCACATACCAGCTTCATCTTTTGCAAGCATACGTTACTTTCCTGTCACCCCATGTCCAGGACCTTCAGTGGTGTTCTCCATGGCCTGACAAGTGCCATGTTGACTTTTTTTCCCCCATGAATCAGGCCTTTCTCACACCCG